TATATATATATATATATATTATATTACAGTAATGCTTTATATTTTAACATGATGCACACCGCGGTGTCATCGAAGTTACTCTACTACAGCCACGAAATAAAAATCACTCCTTCCTCTCCATGAAATCCACTCGGACATTGCTGATCGTCGGCGTGTCTCGCGAGCAGACTAATCACCTTTTAAGCGGTCAGCGTTTCCGTGTTTTTCGATATTTCGTTGTTGAACTCTTCGACAGTCTCGCGGCTCTCCGGGTCCGGCTCTGACCTGACCGATGGTTGCTCCGTGCTGCCTCCTCCAATCACTTCGGTCTCGTTTTGTGGCTTCACGTCGATTATACGAACACGGAACACGGCACCACCATTACTATCGTTCTTCGAATATACTGTCTCGTTGATCGTCACCACATGGCCGTTAATGATCTGCAATCAGATCATTTGTGAGAATCAGAAATTAGTTCAGGATTATTACAAATATCTCATCCTAAAATTCTATAACTTTTTCCCAATTTCCAGACAAAATTTCATGATTTTCCCTGACTTTGCATAATATTAAAAAATATTTATAATATTAAACATAATATTAAAAAATTTTTTTGTGATTTGAAAATCATTAAATATTTTAAGAGATCAATTTAATACAGCAGTGTAAATTATTATTACACTGTAAAAAATTAAAATGTTAATTTTCAACTTAAAAAGTAGTGAACTTTCGGTGACATTTTTGTGTTAATTTTAACATTTTTGCATCTCTCAGAAAGTTCACTATATGTCTTTGAGTTAAAATTAACATTTTATTTTTTACAATGTAATTATTGTTACTGACACTGCTTGCATTTTTAATTGTTAAATTGACAGTATTTCAAAATTGCGTAGATATAATATACGTATATAATATTAAACTTTTTTTCAAGAATTGTAATTTTTCAGAAAATTTTCCGCAAAATTCCATGATTTTTCCTTGATTTCCCTAACCATTTTTAAATGGTATAATAAATGCTCTTTTAAATGATATAATAAATGGTATAATAAATGAAGTTCTTCGAAAATATAGCGTAATATATGTACACATACGCCCTAGAAGGAACGAGAGCTGATTTAGACAGAGATGCAAACAGGTTTATCGAACAATTTGCAGTTCTATAACTGACAAACGCATCGTCAAAATTAATTAAGCTCCATTATTGAAGAATTTGCAACGCTGCGTGAATTTAACTGCGTTTAGTGCATGACAGTGCGATACAATGCAGTTTACTTCGCTAACAAAGAGATACATGCTTCAGCATGAATTATTAGAATTGCTGTACATAATTAAACTTTCTATATCTTTCTATAAGAAAAAAAATCTCTCCTTACATTTCTACATTTTACAAAATGCTAAATCACGTTTCAATTTCATATATCATCGCTCTTAATGCGTTCTTACATTTTCTTTTGCATTTATAACTTTAATTCCTCGACGTTTGAACGGCAAGAGATATTATTAATAAATGAGATTGATTCAAATGCCGATACTTTTTAATGAGATGAACTCGCGATTATAAATATCTTGATTATTGCAGATAATAATATGTTAGTGCGAAAAATTTATAAAAAAAAGAAAAGTTCTCGTTCGGCTTCGTAGAAGAATGAGATCACAGGCGCGAATCTATCATCTTAATTACAAGAATTCTAAAGAATAATGTATATTACCTATTTTTCATTTAATATGTTTTACTTCATATAAAATTTATCTAAAATAATACATTATTTGATAAATTTTCAGCAACAGTGATAATTTATGTAAGAAATGATGACATCATCATAAGATTTTAGCATATTTAATTGCATGCATACCGTACTTAATGTTACTATATAATATGATTCTTTAAAGGTTTCATGTAACAAAAAATTAAATACAACTATCGATTTTTTCATTTTCTGAAATTTTTTGTTTCGGAACAACCTAATCGTCTCGACATGCAAGCTACACCGATCAAAAATATTTATTTATTTTCTTATATCGGTAAATAAAAATTTGGTACATTTAATAATTGTTTTAACAATTTTCTTTAAAACTGATCCTATACGACTTTCAACAAATCTGAGTAAAACCCAATTTAATCCCAGAATACAAATCTTTCGAAAACTTTTGAAAATACATACTACATGTTTGAAAGACTATAACTTTGATAGGCTGTAACTTCAGATTGATATATTTAGATCTCTCTTTTTTTCATTTTAAAGCTCTGAGATTTAGAAATATACTTGCATAGGTTGTAAACTTTTATATGCCAAAAAGTTTTATATTGTTGAATTATAAATAAAAATTCTTCATTTTCTTCGTGTATGGAGCAAGCAAAATTTCGATTGGGTCTGGAAGACCCATATGTATGTTCTAGACCTAGTTTCACAATTCGTGGTTAACTCTTAACCGAGATTTAACTTAAAATACTACATGTTTCCTTAGGGTTGTCGCAGACAAAAAAAATTTCTGTAACACCCTGGTGATAATTTTTCTCATAATTTTCATACGAATTGGAACATTTTTCAGAAATACTCAGAAATATTCGGAAAGTTTATATCTTCTCTTAGAATTTTTCATACAAGTGAATTCTGAAATATTCTGAAATTTCTCATCCCATTAATTTAAAAAAAATATTAAAACATTTTTTTAGATTTTTTATAACATTTTATCAGAAATTATACTTACAAAAAACTCTTAGAAATTTTATGATATTTTATGATATTTCATAATTAACATATATAAAAAATTCTGAAAAAGATGTGATTTTTTGAGAAATGTTCCAATTCATATAAAAAAATATGAGAAAGTTATAACATTATATAGAACTTCTGAAAAATTCTGAGAAAAAAATTTTCACTAATAGCCTTAAGAACAAATGAATTTAAGCGGATGAGCCAATCAGGATACTGCTTTAGATCTACGTATTCTAACGAAAATAGAAATAGTAGTAAACTTATCCATAAGGAGAGTTTCAACAATTGAAATTCACTTTATTGCGAGGTTATGCATAAGTTCACTTATTTCCATTTCCGTTAGATTACGTAATCTAAAGCAGTATCCCTATTGAGCCTCATCGGCTTAAGTTTACACCTCACGCATACTGTTATGGAATTTTGTGTGCGGCAATTCTTAGTGCCGAGTCACTATCATATCTCTGGATTCATTATTCCTTTCCAATTCTAGCATTAAAAAGAGATAAGAAATAAGTAAACCTCGGTTAAGAGTTAACCATGAGTTGTAAAACTGGGTTCTAGGGCTCTATTAATATATTAATACATTTTCTTAGGTAATCTTATCACCCCATCTCCCTTATCTCAGAAAAGACTCTTTTCTTCTGTTTTGTTTTTTCTCCTGCGAATGATGACGTAGCGCCGAGTGTCCGAGAAGTAGGATTCACGATCAAGCAGCGGACGAACTTTTCGGCGGACAGTTATCCACTTCCGTTAGTCGTGCTTTGTGTAGCAAGTCGCATTACGCGTTAAGCGACTTACATATCGGAGAGATCTGGCGGCGCGCAGATTCCGAGCGTGTAACAATACGCGACGGGAAATGCGGTAATCCGATCACCCTCCCCCGTTACCGTACACTTGGCGCTATCGCGCTATTGTTAAAGGGATCCTCTCTTTCTCCCCTCTTCCTATGTTCCACTGTCGTCATCTCGTTGTTGCAGTTTACACGTGTACGTAAATTGCTGGCGATGCATTATCTCCCCGCGACGCGTCCGGCCTGGCGCGACGCGGAGTTTCCTCTTCGCGTGTCGCCGGGGATTATTTTACTCTGCTCTTGGCGACTCTTGGCGAACTTGATTCGTTACTCGATGAACGTTTTCCAGACCGAAATTCGGTCTACGCGAGAATACACGAATCGAACAGGATTTTAAAAAGAACTGTGATAATAATTCTATTGATTGATTATAGACTTTTGTGAATTACTGATTTGTAAATTGAGTCTATTGAATATTTACCTTGACTGTGGATGTTGTGTTCGCTCCTTCGGGAGTAGAAAAGTTTGTCATATCAGGGATAGTCCAGAAGTAGTTTAAGAAATTTTGCCTGATTCTATTGATAGTATCTAAAAAAATCAAAAGCAGAAATTAGAAAGAAAATCCTTGTAAACATACTAAATTTTAATAAATATTTATTTGAATAACATTAAATATTTACTAAATATAAACATATATTTATTTTTGGTATATGAATCATCAATTTGATGAATTCAACTATCATTTTTTTAGTAATAATTTTTTAATAAATATTTATTGAAGTAAATATTAATTAGTACTATTTAAACACACAAATATTTATTAAAATTTAATACATGTTTCTCAGTGTAGTAATTTATACGTATTCACATAATGTTTTTTTGTAGAATTTTTAAATTGATTGTTTGATTTTATTTGTAAATGTCAATAACAACAATCCAATAAAGTGTGCTTGATAATGGACAAATTTAAACGAATTTAAAGCAGGTATAAGCGCTGGTGATCATTTAAAAAATATTTGTCAAGCATCTGGAGGTGACGTGCTTATTAGAATCGCGCGCAATCGTCGGTCAACAAAATTGCGCTTTCATGATTTTCGATTTAGGAAATGAAGCATACAGTGACGGACCCATTGAGCCGAACGATGATCAATTTAAAGAAAAAAGAAAAGAGAAAATTTGTACAAATGGCTGCATTCAGCAGAATGTTGAACCATTTTTACAACTCTGTTGAAAGTTTTCTTCACACACTATTCTTCTAGATTAAAAAATCGAATCGGCACAAAGCGCTTATTAAGCGCTTAACTTCTGTTGAACACCACTATCTAATTTACAGTGAAGTATAGTTAATCAATGTATATATATATAATGATTTTCGTCAAAATTGTCTACAATTTTTATCCAATATTTACTATTTCATTTATAATCTATTATATCTTTTTAAATAATCAATGAATATATATATATATATATATAAATATTGAATACTGCCAACTAGATATTTATTAAATATAAAGATATATGTATTTGATACAAGAAATGTTAATTTGATATAACAATCATTTTTTTTTATTGAATAAATATTTATTTACTGTAAATGTTTAGTTGATGGTATTGAACTAAATATTATTAAAATTAATTATATTTTTTCTCAGTATATATTTTCCATTTAATTTTAAATTATTAATACATAATTTTTTAAGCCCTATCTATATTAAAGATTGTCGGCAGCGCATGTTTGATGCTTGTTTTCTTGCTAGCTAGAATAAATTCTTACCATCGTGGCTATGATACTCAGTACCACAGCTAATACGATGACAAGATTCTAATCCACCTAGGAATCCAGCAAGAAAACAAGCATCGTGTGCCGAAGGCTTCAGATTTTAATGCTTAAAATTTAAGCTTTTAAGTCTTAAACCTGTTCTACAATGAGCTTTTTGTTTCTTACCTTTTGTTATTTTTTACATCTTGTCTTTTTGCTTCTTATCTGGTTTTTTGTTTTATATTGCCCGAGATAAAAGTTAACGAAGTTCGAAAGAAACAAGAAATACATAACAAAAAATGTAAATGTTGATAAAACGATTGCAAAGAAGAAAAAAGATAAAAAACAAGAAACAGGAAACAAAGAGCACATTGTAGAATAGACTTTAAGCTAGAATAGACTATAAAAAATTGATCAATAATCGATAGTTTTTCTCTGTATAGTTATTCAACTGTAAATCAATCGTATTCAACTGTTGATTAATTTCTTATAGCTTATAAGGTTTAAAGTTTAAGTTATATATGTTTAAGATCTCATTATACATCGCTTTATCGGTGCGCATTGACATACGAATTTTTGTCAGGCTTCTTCTTTTTTAATTTTCCTCGGGAAAATAATCACTCAGAAATAGTAATTACTAAATTAATGGTTTTGTAGTGTCATAACTTTATTTACTACAAAAGTTACTTACTATAAAACCGTTAATTTAGTCAAATTATTACAGATAGAAAAATACAATTTTTACATTACGTTGTCAGATTAAGCTTAACTACAAGTTAACCAGTAAATGAAAAACCGAGCCAGAATGGGTACTGAAACTTACAAATAGGGATCACAGTATGATGGAATGAAAACAGACCTGAAACTTTAGTGGCTTGTCTTTTCGAAAAAATAGGAAGTTCATTTCTCAATGAGAAATGAATCTTATCGGATTATACATTGAGTCATACATCTAGCGACTGTGTTCCATCGTTGCCTCGGTCCGGTTATCGTTTCGTTTCCTTTTAATGATTTAATATTTCTAATAGCGCTTTATTGCGATTCGGCGTGAATCAGGCCGTGCTTACACCAGCACGACAAGCGAAGAATCAAATAATGTATCACAAACAACAAATAAAAGTAGAAAGAACGTCTATGTCTCTTTTCAAATCTTTTCAGAAAAGAACTATGTATACATCAAACTCAGTAAGCAAAAAACAGGTATTTCGGAAATGAACGTGTACTAATCGAGTCTTGGCGCTTTTGCGCTCTTTTCTCTCTCTTTTCTCTTATACCTTATAATATAAAATTATTTCTCCGAACGATCAGTAATTATTATATAATTATTACCGTAATTTAAATAGCGAATGAAATTTAATTGCGTTATTAAAGATTATTAACAAATTCTTTGTACTTTTTTCTTAATATTAATTCTGTTTATTTTTGTCTCTTTATCATCTCACCCTTCCTGCTTAATTCGAATTTCTTTGAATAAATATTTATATGCGAGAATATTTACATGTCTACAGACTCGCATGTCATTATGCAATTCCCGCAAGTTTCGCGATAAGACGTCGTCCGTTATAAATAAAATGGTAGTTGATCCTACGACCCAGTTATTTTGTAAAATATAATAATAATTTATGCCATGGTCGGATAGCATATATACGCGAGAAAACGGAGAGGACGTCGACCATGCCGATAAATTTTGCATACTTTATTGCGCTTACAATGCGATTGCCGGAGTAAAATAGTCGACTATATCGGCCGATTATTGCTGTGTGGAATCTCAATGAGGACACGCTGGGCCAGCATATTATTTGACAGTGGTTTCGTTTGCATACAGAAAAATTTGCAATAGCAATTTGCAATTGCCAGCGAGGGAGAGAGAGAGAGAGAGAGAGAGAGAGAGAGAGAAATATGACATCGGATATGCTGCTAAAATCGGCGCGTTACCGGCTCTTTGCATGCGATAATTTTAATTAGCTGGTAAAATGACCTGTTATTGTTAAAAATAGCTCGTTCGTAATTTTCATTTATTTCAAAGTTCGACGCGAGCCGAATATAAAGTGTACGATTTATCAAATGCGCTAAATCAGCGCGAAAGGAAATACAGCATCGATTTCGCAAGTTTAGTGAGCAACAAGTAATAGTTTTATCATACGAATTGCGGGTTAGAATAAAAATATTTAAAACCGTGCAAATTTAGACGATATTTTCATCAGGATAAAATTTAAAGTGCTGATTTAACATTATGCTCATCTAATAATGAATGAACGAATTTAAAATTGAATCTACTATTGGTTTTTTGTACAATATAAAATCATCGTGATCGTATCTTTTAATGGTGATTTAATAATCTCATACGAACGAATTATCGTTCATATCGTTGCTGTGACGTGCTGCAAATTTCAATTACGCTTTAATTCTGATTTATCTTCTGCGAAATCAGATACGATGGCGTCTTATTGATAAAATATAAAACTAATTTATCAGTTTTTGATATACTTATACGTCATAAGATATAAATATCTCTTTAAATCACAGAATTAGAATCCACTAAATTAATATCGAAAGTTAACTAGAGAAGGTAAACTGGCTTGAAAATTAGATGAGACATATTGCGCATATGTTTGGCATATAATAAGAATATAAGAATCTATTTCATGATTAGCATAATAATCGTGCTGAATGCGTACGGAAATTACTAATTCGAAATTATTGATTATGAATTAATATAAGGATAAAAGAAGTGGCAAGAATATAGAGGTACATATATAAAATCCATTGAAGAGTAATTAGCTATAATTTTCAAGAGACTTCGCAGTAATATTTTTCAGAAGTATTTTCTAATTTGTTAAAGTTATAAGGGATTTGCCAAATGCGTACTGGTCGCATAAAACACCTCATATATATATATATATATTAGGTTGTCCGGAAAGTTCGTGCCGATATTGAAGGAAAATTGTTAAATTTTAGTCGGCAGGAACTTTCCGGACAACCCAATATATAAACAATATTATACATATATATTATAACAATATTATATATAT